AGGTGATGTCTTGACTTGCAAGTGAATTGGATTTAAGTGAAGCAGAGCTCTGCAAAGTTATTAACCTCCCTCTCTCTTCCTGAGTCATCAGAGTCCAGTGGAAAGACCAGGATGACTGGTGGTGACCCCTCTTCCTGAATACAAATACTCCTCAAACTGACTTCATGTTACTTATTATTCTAATTAATTCAATCTTAACACATCACAATAATGCATGCTCTATTTGTCAACAAAGTACATTATAATAACATACTTTGGTAATGAAAATAGTCTGTTGATATTTGAGAACAGATTGAGAACACCTTCATAATTGGCTCATCATATAAGTCTCTGACTTACATACTCACTGAAATAGCTCAGCTGACTGGAGTTCTTCAGAGTGAACACATTTGCTTCAGGTTTTCTGATAAGGCTACCTGTTCATTTAAACTTCTCTGAAGAGGTTTTTTGTTTGTTTGTTTCATGTTTTGTTTGTTGTTGAGTTGTTTCAGTTGTGTCTGACTCTTAATGATTCCATTTGGGGTTTTCTTGGCGATACTGAAGTGGTTTGCCATTTCCTTCTCCAGCTCATTTGACAGATGAAGAAACTGAGGCAAACAGTGACTTGCACAGGGTCACAGGTAGTGACTACAGTTAATGATCTGAAGTCAAATTTGAACTCAGGAAGATGAGTCTTCCTGACTCCAGGCTTCCTATCTACTATGTCACCTAGAAGCCAACTGGGTCACTGTAATAACTCAGCTGACCTGAATGCTCCACAGTGAACACATTTACTTCAGGTGTTCTGGTAGGGCTACATGTTCATTTAATCTTCACTGAAGAGTTTTTTTGGTAGGATCCATTTAATAGGTAAAAAGCTGTGTTTTCTTTAGATGCTAGTGTTCTTATCTGGAATAGCTATGAGATGAGAAACTGCCTGTTGCTTGGCCTCTATGACAACAGCAGTCCTCTGCCATCTACTCATTACTAATGTGTTTCACTAAGACCAGTAACTGACTGTATATGGGCCAGATCATCAATTAAGTCACACTAAAGGAAGAAGATATTAAGATGTCAGATCATACATAAGAGGCTATCATGTATGGAAGCAAGATTAGACTTGTTAGAGAGTTTGCCCTGGGCTTATTATCCCAGTGTCAGGCTGCTACATCTCCACATGAGGCTCTATTGGTTCTCCTATGGGGTTGGAGGGTCCTTCCTTCCTTCCTTCCTTCCTTCCTTCCTTCCTTCCTTCCTTCCTTCCTTCCTTCTTCTTCTCTTTCTTTTCTTTCTTCTTTTCCTTCTCCTTCCTTCTTTTCATCTTTCCTTCCTCTTCCTCCTCCTGTTCCTTTGTCTTCCTCAAAGTGGGGGGGGAAAGAAAAATACAATCCTTGTGTAACTCCAGTCCCAAAGCCCATTGGTATGAGACTCTCTCCTTATTGGTGGAGATCAATGCCCCTCGTTTGCAGCTGGAGAGTGAGAGAGCTTCAGTCTCTGCAGTCTTCTCTGAGTCTTCTAGTTCGCATCAAGCTTTGAGTCTTTTTCAAGTTATTTTAGGTGATTTTGGCTCCCAACTTCAAGGGAGAAGATAGAAAAGATACTTGAGGTCAAAGACAGCCTAAAGAAGACTGAAGAGGCTTAGGCTCTTTCCATCTCACCAACTCTACCCCAGCCCTCAGGCATGGGATGTTGATCTCCATCAATAAGGAGAGAGTCCTACACCAATGGGCTTTGGGACTGGAGTTGCACTTGTAAAAAATAAGCCCGTCAAGAAAAATAATGCATCTGTTTTTCATGTCCAAAAATGTATGTCTCATTCTACACCTTGAATCCATCACCCCTTTGTCAGGAGGTGGACAGAATGCTTCAGCACTCATCCTTTGGAGTCTCGGTTAGTCAATGTATTTATCTGAATTCTCAGGAAAAGTTTCTAATGACTAATGGCAGTCCAACAGTGAAATCTGTTGCTCCAAGAGGTGTTAGGTACACCCTCTTCAAAGGTTTTCAAGAAGAGGAAGATGACCGTTAGGTATATGGGGATTCCTTCCAGGCATGGGTTTACTGTACCTCTGGCAAAGTCTCTTCCATCTTTCAAATTTTGTGATTCTGATCAGCTATGTAGATAACTCTAACATTTTGCCAGCCTATGCATGTTTTCACTAGCTCACTATTCTTTCTCCATGGTATACACATGGAGAAGAGACTGAATTATATCAGTGTTCTTTACTGTCCTAGCTTGCCAATGCTTCTGATCATATGACTGTGTGCCTGGCAGATTGAAATTGTAGTAGTATTTTTGTGTATTTTCCCTTTGAAAAATTTGTTCCCTTGGGTAGGACTACTTACAGAAGGGGTAGATCCTATCTGAAACTAGAAATGTTTCCTACATGTCATTCAATTAAATTCCATTTATCAAGCATTTATTAAACACCTACTATGAGCTAGGCACTATACTAGGTGCTGAGGATACAGAGAGAAAAACAGAACAGTCTCTGCCCTCAAGGGGCTTACCTTCTACTGGAATGAAATACCTTCATTTCTTCTCAAATGTACTGTAAGAGAACACGTGATGCTCTCTCAAGGGTCTAACCTGGAAAAGATTTTACAGGGTCTCAGGGTGGGTCTGTGACATGCTATCATTCTCAGAGAACCAGTCCTGCCATTGACCTGCTCTCTGCCCATTGGGCAAGTCATTTCACTGGGCCTCAGTTTCCTCATCTGTAAAATAAAGGAATTGAGGTCTTACCAAACTCTAGATCTATGATCCTAATATCTCTAAATCTAATATATATGATTTCATAGAAGTTCATTTATATAAATATTGCTCTCTTCCTTCATCTACCCGTATCTCCTGATTGCCTCCTGTCTCCCACAGGCTTCTTTGGAAAGGGATTGGTATACAGGTGCTGATCTAGGAAGGAAAGACCAGGGAAGTACATCCATGTCTAGTTTGAAGGGAGGGAACCAGGGGGCCTATTTGGTACCTTAAAAGCAGTGGGGATGCAAATATTCAGTCACCAGTTATCCATGCAATTGTCACAGGTCTCAAGACAGCAGTACAGGTTGAGAAGACTCTGTGCCCAAATGGCTGTGATCAAGTCCATTGTCAGAGATTATTACACCTTCAGTAATTGTTAATGAAGAGCCATCCTAGCTGATTTTCACAATAGCTTTTGAAAATAACCTGGAAATAGCCTAACAACTCTAAATGATCCTTGGGATCAGTTCTCTTTCCCTTGTTCCAGGGCAAATGAAGCAGAGAAAAGGAAAACAGCAAAGTCTACTTCTGGTTTGATATTTCCTGCTTTTAAAGGTACACACACATACAGCAGCAGCAGCAGCAGCAGCAATAGTGGTGGCGGCAGCAGCAGCAATAGCAGCTGGAATTTATATAGCACTTTAAGGCTTGCAAGTTGCTTGTCATGTTTTTTCATTCGATTCTCACAACTGTCACAGAGGTGCTATCATTATTCCCATTTTACAGATGAGGAAACTGAGGCTGAGAGCCAAGGGAATAGCTCTTTATAACCTGATCTCTTTCTACCTTTCCAGTCTTCTCACACCTTACCCCTTCCATGTACTCTGCAATTCCTTTCAGTTCCTTTCACAAGGTACTCAATCTGCCCATTCCAAGCATTTTTACCAGCTGGCCCCAGAACTCTCTCCCTCCTCATCTCCATCCCTTGGCTTCCCTGGTGTCCTTCAAGTTTCAGTCAAAGTTCCAGTTTCTGAAAGAAGTCTTTCCCAGTCCTCTTGAATTTTAGTGCTTCTTTCTTACAAATCATTCCCCAATTGATCTTGTCTATATCTTGTTTGTACATAATTGCATAGTTGCTTGCATGTTTTCTCTGCAATTTGACTATGAGCTTCTTAAGAGCAGAATCTGGTTCTTGCCATTCATTGTTTCCCTGGCACATAGTAGGTGCTTATTAAGTGCTTGCTAACTGACTTGCCCAGGATCTCATGGCTAGTAAGTGTCTGAGGCAGGATTTGAACTCAGGTTTTCTTGTCTCCAAGGCCAGTGTTCTATCCAGTGATCTACCCAGCTGCCTCACATGTAACTATACTCTGCTGAAACAAGTTTACAAGCCATTTCCTCCTGTCTGAACCATGCCTGAGTCTCAGGCAAAAGTACATTTCTCCGTCTGAATGGGCTGGGTCACTGAAGCTGTGTAGATCAATTTACTTTTTAAAATGCCAATCAATAGCCTTGGCTCCTTGCCCATCACTCTATCTACTGTCAACACCCTTATTAAGGAAATAGTATTTTCCCTGTGTGATTCCATTTTGCCTTATACTTCCTTTTTTCATTTTCCATCAGCAGAGTACTATTTCTTCACAGCAAGGCATATTTTTCATTTGGGACAGGGCACTAAGTCCTATTTATTAGAAGCTCAGGGGAGCAAAATGAATCATGTTTCTACATTATTTTTCAGCGTGTGGAATTCATATGACTTCCCAGTGTCTGACATCTCTCTCATGTAGGGAGGCAAAAGAGTAGAGTGGAAAGATTATAGACTTGGGTTAGAGATCTGGGGTGAAATGACATCTTTGATGCTTGCTACCTGTGTGACCTCTGGTGAGTCACAACCTTCCTGGGACTCAGTTTTCTTATCTGTAATAGGTGGATTGGCCTAGCTGAGCTGTAAAGTCCCTTCTGGCTCTGGATTTATGAACCCATGGATATCTTCCCTGACCTAAAAATGAATCATGGTAACAAAAGAAAACAACATGAAAAGAATAAGGTACTGTGATACCTCGTAAAGTGAAAAGAGCATTGGATTAAGTCACTTAGCTTTCTTTAGCCTTATTTTCCTTATATGTAAAAAGATGGGGTTGTATTAGATGATCTTAAAGCCTTTCCCTTTCCAGCCTGTAAGATGCTCCTTGTTCCCTTACCTGCTTCTCTGACTCTTCATCCTTCCCTTTTTTTTTCTTCCCTCCCCTCCCCTCCTTCTCCCCCATCCCCATCCTTCCCTCCATCCTTTCTCCTTCCTCACTTCTCTGGCCTAGACTATGCCATGGTGGAGAAGGCCAAGGAGGCCATGGAGCCTGCCAAGGCAGTCATCATGGGGCTGTGCCAGGACATGTTCTCCAAAATGGCCACACACCTGACAAGCGAGCTGACAGCCCCCAGTGAAGACTCTAAACCTCTGGAAAATATGAACAAACTGACTAGCTTGAAGTATCTAGAAATGAAAGGCATTGCAGTAAACTTAGGTAGAAACCTAAAGGACTCAAACCAGAAATCTGCAGCACCTCAGCCTCATCTGGATCAGATCACTTTAACTGAGGAGGAAGTAGCTGCTCTTGAGCAGGCAGCTTACAAGTTGGATGCATATTCAAAGAACCTGGAAGCAAAGTACAAGAAGTTGGAGAGGCGATGAAGGAATTCTTTAGCACAAAGACTTCAACTACGAGAGTGTTTCATAAGAGCTGAAATAAGTGGGATGGAACCTATCACTGTGCTTCAATTCCTAAAAGGAAGCGGTGCTGCTCATCCAAGGAGAATTCCAGCCCCCACCTCTAGTTGGATGTGTATCTTGGGCCACCCCTTGATGTTTCCCAAATCTGTAGCCCCTGGAACCTCATTTTATCATGTGCTTCATTGTGTGCCCTGGACCGAGGCTCAGAAATCAGGATCAACCCTGTCTAGAGTAGACACAGAGGAGAGCCTCTCCTCTCCCTGTTCCCTGCCTTCTTCCTTCTCCCCTAAGGCTCCACCTTGGACTCCCTGTTCTGAATGTGCCCCACCCCCTTCATAACCTGTTCTTCAACTTAAATAATAAATGCCGACTTATGACAAAAAAGATTCTCTTTGTTTAATCTTCAGTGAAATGATGAATAAAACATGTTGTCTCAGTCATGGTTTCATTGGACCAAAATTAGGTTCTAGATTTGTCTACCGGTGGGCAAAATTAACTTAAACTGTCCTAGGTCTGCTGCAAGGTTTCTTTATTCACAAGCTCTCTTTGATTTTAGGGAGTATAGGCAGAAGTGTGCTGATAAATGTTTTACAGTCTATTCTCTGATTCCTCCCGCAACCATCCAAAGTACACAGGACACAATTTTAAGTTTAATTTGTATTATTAGCACTTTCCCATCACTTTCTTAAGTCTCTACAATCAACAAAACAAAAATGAAGCCCATACCAATTTCTGTGGTATGACTGCTCATACTGAGACTTTTAACAGTTGGCTTTCTTAGCCAGTGGGAGCTACTCCAGCATACGCCTGAGTGTGGGGGTTAACTCAAGCTTCCTCAGCTCTACTAGTATCATGGCTCATCCTCCTTTGGTGTCTACCTGGCACTCAACTCTTACCAGTGGCTCCAAGAAGCTGTGGCTTGTTCAGCAGCCATACCCCAGTAAACCATCATAGCAGATAAGCTGCATCAGGTTGAGGCCAGAAACCCATCAGTGAATGAGGCGGGTGTCTGTCCCAAGCATGTGAAGACTTCCTTCAGTGGATGGGCAGATGAGAACAATTTGTTGATGAATGCAGCTGAAGCAGGCACTGTGAAAATCTTAGAGCTTTGTCAGACATCTAAGATGCCAAGGTCACCCACTGAATTCTAGACCATTGCAAATCGTCTTGACTTTTATATTACCACTGGACTTCAGTGACTCTGGAAGAGAGGGTGAGGCTGACAATGAAGTGCAACTCTGCCTCACTTAAATCTAATTCATGAATGAATCAGAACATCACCCTGTGATGTCATTGGTCCTCTTCAAAAACAAAGGACAAACAACATCATGGCTCACATCAGAGAACATCTGCTTCATTGCAATAAACTTCTATATAACCATATGTCTGTGATCTCAATTGAAAAATTGAATTTGAAGGCAGAAGATACAATGCTATTTATTACCTGTGTAACCTTAGGCAAGTTACTTGGGGTATATGTGTGTGTGTGTGTGTGTGTGTGTGTGTGTGTGTGTGTGTATGTGTGTGTGTGTGTGAGAGAGAGAGAGAGAGAGAGAGAGAGAGAGAGAGAGAGAGAGAGACAGAGAGAGAGACAGAGAGAGACAGAGAGAATCAAATATGTTGCCTTCTTTACTGGCGCAGATTGTAACCCATCCATGTATTCTTATTCTGCATGACTCAATCATGTCAACCTAACAACCTTCCACAAGGGGTACACCCATTATCCTGGGGACTTTCCTTTAGCTGTCTTGTGCATAGCTACCAGTAGAGTGCCCAGGGCAGGGGTGGGGAACCTGCAGCCTCAAGGCCACATGTGGCCCTCTAGGTCCTCAAGTGCAGCCCTTTGCCTTTGAGGCCACAGGTTCCCCACCCCTAGCCCAGGCTATTTCATGGTTATCTCTCTCTCTCTCTCTCTCTCTCTCTCTCTCTCTCTCTCTCTCTCTCTCTCTCTCTCTCTCTCTGTCTCTCTCTCTCTCTCTCTCTCTCTCTCTCTCTCTCTCTCTCTTCTCTCTCTCTCTCTCTCCATTATGTGATCTTCCCAGTTCCTCTTTGTCCAGACCTATGCTTCTCTGATTTATTTCATACCACTGTTCTGCTTCTTCACTGGTAATGTGCAGCACTGTACTCATGTCTCCCATGAATCTCTTCATTGCTCTTCAGGCAACCTGCAACTTTAATCCTTTGGTTACTGTGGTATCCCATGCTCTGGAGACATTAACCAATCAACCAATCATCCAACAAGCATCCACCAACCTACTCTGTTCTAGGCACTGTGCTAAATACTGGAAATACATAGACCAAAGAAAGAGAGGCTGTACCCTTAAGGAATGTACCTTATAGCAGAGGCAGAAATGTGCGTTCCCCCCACAATATGTACAAAGCAAATGAAAGGTTAACTCGGAGGGGGTGGTGCTAGCAGTAGCTGCCGGGGGTGGGGAGGAGGAATTAGGAATGGATTCATGTAACAGGTGGCATTTAAACTGAGCTTTCAGAGTAGGAATCTCAGTATTTGTTTATTTCAGGCTCTAATAATTTCAGTGAAATTCTAAGATCTCTGTAAAACTTAGTTTGCCTTGCTCAGCATGCCACAGAGAGACTAGAACTGCATTATGTGTCAGCCTTGCTGGTTTTGCCTCAGACAGTTCAAGTTCCTTGTTGATCTGAGCTTCTCATACTGTACAATGGCCCTTGTGTTCTACCAAAAAGCATCTGCTAAATCCTTTCTGCCTATTTTAGCTCCTCTCCCTTAGCTAGATTTTGTTCTTACAGATGCTGGCCGATTCCCACAGGACCCTCCTGTCAAACTTGTCAGAGGCAGAAGTAGAGAGTTTGTGGACATGTGATTGGTATGTCTTTGAAAACTGCAGGAATCTAATTCACAGCTAATTCTCCTTCTCCAAAGATATGAGATCACAGTCCCACCTTTTCTTTGTTCTAAGGAGCTCTAAGACCTGAAATTTGTGGACTGAGAAAGCTGCTCCTTGATCTGTTTTTTTACATTTGCCATGACCTTTGAAAATTTTCTTTAATCTTTCTTTGTTGCTGGTGAAAGAACCATAAAAGGTGACCATTATATTAAGCTACCTTGTTGGATTGTTGGGAGGAACAGATCAGGAGTGTAAGGTATCTTACAAAAATGAAATGTGAGATAGATTTTACCAGTTGAAAATCACCAGCCTCCTATTTTTCAAACTCTACTTTGAATTGTGCCTTCCTAAACCTGCCGTGGTCTCTATTTTGGTCCCTATTTCTTCTAGTCTTAACATTCTCTAATTCAAGGCTGTTCTGTTTCTCCCTCCAATCCCTACCCTTTGGTCACCTTGGCTACCTCATCTGGCTAGATTTTCTTCTCTCCAAGCCATTTATGGTAGAGTTAGGCGTATTTTCCCTTTGAGAGACCAGAACAGTCATTGGCTGACATTAGAAATGAGCTGGTATAATATCTCAAATCTCTCACTACAAGGAAATCTGGAAAACATAGGCTAGAAGACACCAGAACCTACATTGTATCCATATAGTTCAACATCAAGCCACATGACAAAGTGCTTGAAGGCCAATTCTAGATCACATTTTGTACCTATTTTTACAGCATGTCTTTGGAATTAAAACTAAAAGGTAAAAAACAACAACAACAGAAAGCCCTACTCTCCTTTGGTGGAAGGAATGGTTTGATTTGGAACTGAGCAAAGTTAAATTTGAACTCATTTCCAATGTCAAGTGGTCTCTAATGATGTCTCCAGCTACCTTTACTACTTTGCAGATGTCCTCCCTTTCTGCATTTCTACTCACTGTCCCCTCTTCTCTGATCAACCTGTAGAACTCATTAGTGTTTCTGCCAATTTAACATTCCTGTTTCTCTTCCTTTGTTTATACTCCCCCTTTCCATCACATTTCCTCTTCTCCCCCAGGCCTAATAATTGCCCTTAAAATGCTAACTACCAGGCCTCCATGAACCTGGGAACACTTTTCTCTTCCCCATGGGAGCCAGGAATGCTTCAAAATGCTTTGCAGAATGATACTTCAAATGCCAAATTTCTAGCTTATCCATTTTCAGGCGATGCCATAGGAAATCTGATTTTGTGCTTCAGGGGAAACTCACCACAGTCTCTTTCTGCAAGCCACTGGAGCAATTTGAAGATCAATAAGGGTGCCTCAACTAGCAAAGAGTGGTTGAAGTTATTTTAAAATGTTCCCTAAAGAGGATCTGCAGACAAAGGTCTCTAATTTACAGACCATCTGAAACAACAAGCAAACTCCACTGTGAGTTTTGGGCCAAGGGTGAATGGAAGAAACCCTACCAATTATAAAATTCTGTGAAAAATGAGAAGGAAAAATGTATTTGAAGGCTTAAAAAATTGATTTCCAATCCAGTAACTTGCTACTGGGACTGGGTGGCCCATAGGCCAGAAGAGGCTCTTGACTAGTTTCGGTTTTTTTCTTTTTAAGTTCAGATAAGCCCACAACTAGAGAGCTGACCACCAAGTAACGGATTATTTTGGCCTTGGTAACTCATGCACACTCAATGTGAGTCAACAATGGGATGTGGCAGCCAGTCAATCAGTTAGTCAACAAACATTGATTAAGTGCCTTCTATGTGTTGGTCATTGTATTAAGTGCCAGGGACACAAAGAAAGGAAGAAACACACTCCCTCCCCTCGAGAGGCTCACACTGTAATGTAGGAGACAACATGCAACAAACAGGCACATGCAGAGTAAATGGAAGGTAGTCTCAATACCAGGGCAACTACCAGATGGTACAGCGGACAGAAAGCCAGTCCTAGAGTCAGGAAGACTTATCTGTCTGAGTTCAAATCTGGTTTCAGACACTTATTACCTGTGTAAAACTTGGCAAGTTAGTTACCCCTGTTTGCCTCAGTTTCCTCATCTGGAAAATGAGCTGGAGAAGGAAGTGGCAAACTACTCCAGTATCTTTGCCAAGAAAACCCCCAATGGGGTTGTGA